GAGGTGGTGGATGCCCCAGCCCTGGAAACATTCCAGGTCAGGTTGGACGGGGCTCTGAGCAACCTGATCTAGTTGAAGATGTCCCTGCCCACGGCAGGGGGGTTGGACTAGATGACCCTTAGAGGTCCCTTCCAACCCAAACTATTCTATGATTCTATGATTACTCAAGTATTTTCAGGGGTGGTAAGTACCTGAGTACTTCTGAAGAACTTCCATGTGTACCACTGAGTGGTTCAAGGCTTTGCTGTCACACGACATGTTGAGCTGTTTGCCTTGGCAAGCAGCTCAGTGATACGGCCACAGTCTTAACCTGGAAGCCCAGCCGCCAGATGTTCTAGGAGCAAAAAGTATCCGTGGCTGGGGAATACTGAGGAACAAGAAAGTTCCCTTTTCCCTGATGGCTCTGTACAAAGGGGCTATGCAGTTACGGTGCAGCCCCAGGAGGAAGTTCGAGCTTCCTCCAGTCCAACAGTAGAAGCTGCTAATCTGAGTCTCTCTGCTTCTTTCCCCAGATGTGTCCCACAATCACTCTAAAAAGCACCATGGAAATCGAGGGAAAAATGCTGGGGCCAGGCTTGCAGGTAGGTCCAGGGATCAGCCAGAGGAGGAAGAGACCAGGTAGATGAAGGTTCATCAGTGCCACTGACCTTCCTATCAATTCAGAGTTACATTCCCCTGGCTTCCGCTGAGGATGCTCAGTAAGGAACGAGGGCACCAAATTACCTGTCAGAAAAACTCCTTTTAAAGATTAAACAATTCTTCCCAGGCCTGGAGTACGAAAGTGAGTAAAAACATGCAAATGCTTTGTCCCAGCTCACAGGAGAAATAGATACCCACTAGCACTGGTGCCTTCCCCCAGCCCTTCTTATTTCGTATCAGAGAGCTGCAGAGCTGAGAAGCATAAACAGTTATTGTCTTCCTAGCAAGAAAGAAAACCTTTTTGTGGCCATTTTCAATAGAGGGATGCTGTGCAGTGTAAAGCAGCTGTAAGGTGTTGATCTTATGGACAAAGCACTTTTCCTGTTACCTGCTAGTCTTTCTTTTGCAGCAATTGTGGCTATTGCCTAAGATAGGTACAGCAGGGATAGGTACAGCAAATGCATGATTATTTTGTATGATATCCTTTCAGGCACCAACTGGAAGACGGCCATGCTGGTCCTCAGCCCCTTGGCATTCATACTGGGATTAATAATACTGACACTCAATGTTCATTACAACAAGTAAGTAAGATTAAAGTTCATTCTGTTTGCCACTTCCCTGTCCAGCATTTCAAAACAAAAGTCTTGATCTTGGCACCCTTCCCAATCCCACACCTGAAGTGTCACCCTTGATGATTTCTCCTCTCTGCCACCCTGTTTCTCCCTCCCACTCACTGTCCCATCCAAATGCAGCCACTAATGTTGGCTCCTTCTCCCCTACACACCTTGCACCATCCCTGAAGGTTTAGGGAATTTGGGCACTACGGTTGCTGATCCAGTTCACACGGAGGAGCAACGAAGAGACACGCAGATGCAGTTACATACCCTCCTCTCTCTTCTCCTAGGAAGAAGAAAATCCTCTCTGCTCTGAAGAGCTCCCCAGCCAACAGCAGCAGAGCTGACTTACGGGAGCCGTCTCCCTTACGAAGAGGTCCTCAGCCATCTCGCTCCCCTTCCTTGAGGCGTGGAGAGATCCTCATTGAGTGGAAAGATGGGACTGTCACTCCTCTTTTTGATAACGCCAATTATCAAATGGACTAGCTCTGAAATGATGGAGCTGTTGTTCCATCCTGTGTCACTCTTCCCACCAGGAAGAGTGTCACCATAGCCAATCTCCTCCCTGCCCTTGCTGTTTTGACAGGGAGTTGTAAGCACTGTTTGGTTTTTTTTTTAACACTTGAGAACAATCTCCTTGCACAGCACGAGGTTGAAGCAAGCAGAGCAGATTGTTTGGTTTGTATAGGCACATGCTGCTTAGCTCTTCCAGAGCTGATATAACTCGTAACAAAACCTAAATTTAGCTAAATGAAGCTGAGACTCTCACCAGCTGCAACTGTCCATTGCCCTGAAATTATAGAGTTACTGAGCATATGAGAAAGTAAATCCTTGGAGACAAGCTGTAAGGTGAAAAACAGAAGTCCTGATGATCCTTAAATCCTTTTTAAGACACAACTAGCTGCCAACAGACACAGAAGGCTGTCAGTTACTTTGTCAATGTGAAAACATAACTAATAAGCACTGCCTTCAGGACTCAAAAGATTACAGTCTCCTCCAGATATCTGCCAAAATACTCCCCCCACTAAGTTATCAATTATGTAACAGCAAGTAATTTTTCTAACTTAAAAGGTGGCACTCCATCGTCCTCTGCACCACTGCAAGAGTCCTGCTGAGAGTATGTGTCTCTCAAAATACTACCCTATTTAGGATGCATTAGACCTTATTATAACACACATTCTCTTTCTTTATGTAGAATGACAAGTAACATTGGTGATGCTTGTCAGGGATATTACATTATCCAGCCCTTTTATACCAGCTTCAGTCTCTGATTTCCTATAGTCCTATGGAATAGTCAATGAACAGATATACTGCTCCCATCTAGAGCAGTAATACAGTTTTTTTCTACAAGGCACTGTTTTCAGCCTTTACACTTCTTGTATGAGCATAATTACCTGTGACCCATCACACTCAATCCTGATCTTTTCTCAGTGAAACTTGCAATGTCTTAGCGCTTTCCTAATATTCATGAATTTATGCTTTCCTTCTCTCTGATCTTGTGATGATGTAAACCATAATCACATGGCTATTAATCAGGAATTATTTGGAGTAAGAAATACTAACACCAAGAAATTACAAGTATGAGCTGCATCAGTATATTTGTTTAGCAGTGCAAGGGAAACCATATCCTAACCTGTCTCTTACTTAGACTTAAACAACACTTTTCACTTTACCTAAATTAACTTGTTGTGCCATTTCAGTGGAGCTTGGACTTCTCTAGAGTTTGATTTTATTTAACCTAAGGCAGAAGGTTAAATAAGGGAATAGGTCTCTAGGGAATTGAAAGTCTCTGGGTTTTGGTGTTTGTTTTTTTTTTTTAATTTTTCTTTTTAAACATAGATCCACAGCCTGGTTAAAAGTTAACTACCATGAGATATTATTATGACCAAAAACCTAGCTGGTTTCAAGAAAGAAAATAAAAACCTTATTGGTTCAGGGCATAAAAATCATAGAGGTTGGAAATAAATGTCTTCCCCAGGCAGATTATTCCATAATTGTTTACTGGAGGGTTTCCCACACACTCCTGGGGAATGTATTTTACTACCAGACACGGACAGAGGAAGAACTCATTCTTCACCAGTGAGCAGTGAACACAAACAAAATTAAATTCTGACTTTCCAATGTTTCCACTTTAAAACAAATCCAGACTTTTGGGTCAAGCTTCCAGATGTGTAAGCATCATTTCACACACAAAATTTGTGGGAATACATTCTTTACATAAATCACTCAAAATGCACATGCAGTGCCTCACCAATTATCACAGTTAAATCCCTTGCACCTTTTCCTACCACAATTAAGATGCCCGCCTTTGAAATTTTGTCCAAGGAGCACATCACCTTACAGTGCATAGCACTTGTTACCCTCCAAAACCTTGATGCACTTTGGGAACACTATGTATGCAGTGCCATTAAAATGCAAATACTTACTTGGAGTTCAGCTTTGTTGTCCTTTCCAAAGCAACAGGTGCTTATGTTCATTACTGCTGAATGGGCAGAACAGATGACTTGTTAATGACTCTCTGTAATTCACACTTAATATGCTAATCTTGCTCATAGACATGAAGGCAGTAACACCATTGTTTACACAGCACTGATTAAATAGTAGCTTATACAATAATGAAAAATTAAGACTGTGAAGCAGCACAGGTTTTTAACATTTTCTCCCTCCTCTCTTTTACTGGTTGTTATCTTTTAGTTTTTTCTCACTCATTTACCTACGTTAGATGCTAGAAACCAAATTTGCCAAGGTATGGACAGAGGAGCTGAAGGTGCGAGTCTTCATCACAAGAGGTCTTAAAAAGCACGTTAGCCAAACATCCACCAGGAAAGACTTCAAAATAGCTGATTCTGCCTTGGGGCTGGACCAGGTGACAGTGGGAGACACCTTCCATCCTCTGCTTCTAAAGCTTGCTGAGAAACACTCAGAGCAATCGCACAACCTATGTGCTGTTCACTCTCTGCCATCACCTGAATGCAATGCTTTTAAACAGTGTTCATAATCAAAATAAAACCTGACTGTAAAGTGGAGGAACACTGAAATTGTTTATGTGTGTGTATATATATTAGAAGCCCCCTTATTGTGCATCTTTTTGTGTGTGTGTATACACACACGCTTTTTTGTGTATACACACACAAAAAAGGATGCACTATAAGAGGGCTTTTATAAATCAGTCTACAGGAAGATAAGAGAGGGATGAGCAAGACATCACTGTCACAGTGGTACTAATAATATTAATATAGGCTGCTCCAAAGGACAAGTGCTGCATAACTGGCAGTTAACACAATACTAAACTGCTGCCCATATTTCTCAGCCCAGTTACGCTACTGGTATCACAAGTCTTCTCCGGGGCTGATGTGATACTACTGATGACCCTCATTTCACTCTTGCAGCAAAGAGGAAGACAAAGCTGAAGTAAAGCCCACTTTCTCATACACTTATTTGCTTTGCGAGGTCCCAGTGCCTAAGCAGCAAAGGCTAGAGGAGATGTAGGGAAGAAGGGACAACTTGTTCTCCCCCAAAGTTCCCTGGGATTCAGAAAAACTTCATTTCTCACCTAAAAATGTTAATAATGCCATCTTGCTTTTTTGGTATTTATGTACCAAAACATCCAAAAGATTATGAACCGTTACTAACTGAACATGCATAATCATACAGAGTGCTAACAACCTCAGCTCCCAGTGACGTTAATGACAAAAGAGAGGTCCACAGGAAAGCCGATGCAGGCGAGCTCATCTGTACCACCACAGGCTACTGCAGTCATCCAGCATGAGTAGCTACAGCACAGCACGAGCAGCGCACGTGGCCCTGCTGCCCACACACTGGTGCAGGCTGCAGCCACAGAAACACAGATGCTATCAAACGGACACAAGATTGCACATTAGCTTAAACATTCTGTGCAGAAAATGCTATATTAGGCAGACTGATTTCCCTTCCCCAACTCCCTGAATAATGTATGGCCAAGGTGTTTGTTAAAGAGCAAAAAGGAAAAGAAAGAAGCAAAAGAAGAACTTCAAGTTTACCATTTAAATACTGTACATCAACCATTTACTAAGACTCTTTAGATGGAAAATGTTTTCATAACAGTACATTAGTGATATACATAAATTCATGATACAAACAAACAAGACCTGAAATGATTTGACAAGTTATCACAGCGTATTAGTGGAGGAGTTGGGAATGGAACTACTGCTTCCCCATTTGAAATGCTAGGTGCAACTTCTGCAGTAAATATTTTGTTATTAAAAAATCTCCATATGCTCATTTTCTCAACTCTGTAGTTCTACATCAGCAAGTCAAGAAACATCAAGTGTTTGATTTTTCAAAAAGACCTGAGGCTGTGTAGCACTTCAAGGAGGAAAAAAAAAAAAAAAAGAAAAGGAGACAGGGACAGAGGAATTCTTTGTTAGCTCTGGGTTTCAATTCAGACATCTCTGGCTCATGATTCAATCAGACCATGCTTTTTTGCATTAGCTAGGGGAGACAAAAGCACAAGCTCTTTAAAAGCTCCAAGTATCTTCACTGAATTTGTATAGATTTAAAAAAGAAATCTACATTTCTACAGCCATGTAGTTCTTCCCCTGGTTAAAAAAAAAAAAAAAGCAGGACATGCTTCTTCAAAAATTCCCCTTATCCTTCACAAAAGCATTTATTCTTTGGAGCAGAGAAACTGATGCACTTCTTTCAGCGTCGCTTGCATGTCCTCGTATTCTGCAAATTTGCAAGCATCCTCCAGCTTCAGCCATTGGAAAGCTTGGTGCTCCTCCGAGAGCTTGATTTCTGTGTTACAGTCCTTCATTTCTGCCAGCCAGTAAATGACAGTCTTAGGTTTGCCACGGACGGGATAGTGCAGTTCTTTCTTGTACCCCTCTATGAGGGTGAGCTGACTGGCCTGAAGACCAGCCTCTTCCTGCGTTTCCCGGAAGGCTGTCTGCAGGTCATCCTCGCCTGGGTCCACGTGTCCTGTCAAGAAGGTGAAAAAGTAAGCCTCTGAGAAGGAAACTCAGATTTTGTTTATTCAGTTGACAACTAGGAAACATTGGGAGACAGAGATGAGAGTACACTGCAGCTGATACAGAATCAAATGGAAATTGGAGAACAGAGATTGCTTTTCCAACTCTTATGTCTTGATTCATCTTTGTCTTGTGGCTTTGAGGATCGTTGCTTATCCCACATCTTCTGAAACTCCCAGTGGCCTGTCAGCACTAGACATCTTTTCTTCTCAGTCCTCCTCCCCTCTTCTGGAGCACTCCGCACCCATGATGTTCCACCTTAGACCATACTGATGACTGAGTGCTTCATGGATGTTTTTCCTTTACCCAGTTAGAGGGGAGACTGCTCATTTGCAAGAGTCTTAGTCCTCTCAACCCTTCTCTCCCACAGAAACTTAAGGCTCAATTCTGCAAAATGCTTACTTATGCCAACAGCCCAGAAACAACGGGACCAGGCACCAACAAATGCCATTTAAAAGGTGGGTTTTCAGTTAGGGATATTTTTACTTCTCTCCCGTATTCCCCTCTGAAACGCAGCAAGCCTAAAAGCCAGCACTTTCACCAGCTGCTTAGTTCTTCTAGCACACATCGTTTATTTTATGTTGCTCAGAATGAGAGGTGCCATTACAAACAACGGATAAATATAACACATCCTCAGCTGTTTGTACTTTTGTTGAGAAATGTCAGATTTGGTTTTCTCATGAAAGCTCCAGACCAGAACATAAATAGAACAAGCCAAGCAAGATCTCAAAAAAGCAACATAGCAGGAGTTGGGAGGCTTCAAGAGGAAAAAAAAGTTAAGCCCCTGGTGTCACTCTATTTTCTACGTAGCTGGCTGCAAATAGCTGTAATTTCATCACAGAGATGAATCTATCCTCCGGGCCCAGGTACCCAAAGCCACCCTTTAGTACTAGAACTGGGGT